CCTGACATGAGAAAAAAAGCACCCACCACTCTAGTGTCAGAGTGCGTGACACGTGTCGACTTCCGAACTAATATTCAAACTCACTAAATGACATTTCTCCACCACTATGACACATTTGGACTATCATTTTAGCTTAGTTACTGTTTTTATAATGATTAAATTACTACTATTGCTGGTACAGTACTCTCCCTGCCTCATTAATTTTTATGTTATACTTATATTTTTGCGTTTTTTTTGTTTCAAATTTTGATTCTATAATTAAATACGGCCAGTCTACACTATAAAACTGAATCTTTATGCACATAAGTATATAACAATTGATTTTTTCTAATGTAAAATAAATGATTGATTTATATTTAAGCAAGTTGGGGGCATAAAGAGGTGCCCTTGGAGACGATGCGCACCAAAGATTTCGACCAAGGAAATTATTAGTTAGTAGCAGATATTAAAAAATTACTAATCAAATCAAAAATTTGAAAAGAAGAGAGAAAAAGGCAAAGACTGTCTGGCTCCACTTGGAGTCCATACACTAAAAAGGATCAATTGCTATGCGAAGATCTGAAATAGTACATTGCATAAATATATATGTCTATGTTATTTATTTTATAAGTATATTATTAACTGCGTATTCAATATTCTCTGAAGATGATTATATGCTCTTTTCTTTATATTATCTGCAACTTAAAATCAACGTATAAAGCGATCGAGGGTTATGCATTTAATATCAAACTCTAAACAATGTATGTTAGTTTGGAATCATTAATTAGCCGTGTGTGTGACTGTATGTGTGACTGTATGTGTGACTGTGTGTGTATCAGTGTATATATATATTTTATAATATAATGAAACAAGGTGAATAATTCTTTACTAAAAAAGAAGGTGAATAATTCTGTAATAGAGAGTCTTCTATATATGAATACGAATATGCTAGTATATGATAAAATAATTTTTTTTTTGGTAAATTAAATAATATAATTTTATATTGGTGGTATCTTGTTTTGATGATTCGTGGGTAGGGGAAAATATCATTATTTTATCTGTAAATACTTGAAGTTCTATTTTTTGTTAAAGGGTTTTACGAATGAGGTTGAAAGTGAAAGCAGAAGTCTCTTTCACTAAGATTTTCTTAAACGAAAAGGACACAATTTATAATTGATGGTTTATTCAAACTTACATGTTTTGCAGACGATTCTATTTTTGAATATAGGAGTTAGTCCTTGGATAGTTGAAAGGGGATGTAAAGATTTTAGACTGAAACAATAGAACCAGATTTTGAATCGATATGATTATGATAAATAATAATTGTATAACTTTCTTAAAATATCACAGTATTCTCAAACCCATTTTTTTTTGTTTTTGACGTCTCTCAAAACTGATTAAAGCTTTAAAATCTCTAGGTAAATCCATTTAAATCGAGATTCCTCACAAATAGTAACTATCATTGTTTTTGAACTTTATGCTCTTTTACAAATTCTGGTGTCTACATAGTTGTATCCGGATTTAATGAATTCACCATTTACTCACGCAAACAAAATTTATACACGTAAATTCAAACTGCGTTTAGCAAAAGACTATATAGCATGTTATGGTCTATGGTCCGAGAGAATGTACAGATTTAGGTTTAGAATTTCTTAATTATAAATAAACATGGAATTACAAAATAAAGTTCTTTGAAAATTGAATTGGTATCATTTAATATGAATATATATACATAGATACGTCTCCATATAGTAAACTAGATTAGTTGCTTTAATCTTTGACGATCGAAAATATTAAAATTCCGGCATCTTCTAATATTCAAATAAAATCTTGTCTATATTCGGATTCGTGCAAAGTTATAAGCAAGTGGCTCAAATAACTCAAAGAATGACATTAATTACATTTGAGTAATATAAGAAATAAAAGAATCCGAATTTTATATCGGAGAACTTTCCACGGGAGGGAATTAAGATGAGGAGGATCGTATTCTGAGTTCTGACTATGATTTTATACCATAAGTAATTCAATCTCCTTTTCCCCAATTATCTTAATTCTCAATCTTCTTAGATATTATGATTTAATATGGACAATACTTGGTAATGGAATGATTCTTATGTGATAATAATAAAAAATAATTAATTCTCAACTCGTAAACGCAACGCGACATCTCTAGACAAATAATAGTTATTAGTAAATGTGTCTTCAGCTAGTTTATTCGGTTCATTACACCGAAAGTGCTTCTACAGATAAAAAAGTATTAAGTCCGTACATTATAAATACCAAAAAATTGTAAAGCATGCATAATGTAAGTAGTTCTAGAGCCATTCTCTTCTTTTTGTTGCGTGAAAATGTGTCATCATTACTAAACTCCTCTATATCGACATCGTCAATTGAATTTAAGTCTTGTAATACCAAATAAAATTGATATACTTTCTTACATCTTATACAAAGAGAAAAAACAAATACATGAAGAAAATTAAATAAAATGTGCGTCAAAAATAGGAATTTTGACGGCGTTTGATTTTCTAGAGCATATGCATTTTTCGGAAAACTAAGTACAATAACAAGAAAAACACCCAATTTCCCATGTTTATCTCATGTATTTCGTATGGATGTTTAATTTGAACTATACTGTATTAATCAGAAATAGATACTTTAAAATAAACTAACAACATTAATATTTGCTAATTGGTATAAGACATTTACAAGAAACCCGATATTAAAATCACCGTAGTTTTTTTTTAACTTTAAAAAACTAAAACTAAAGCCCTAAACAAAATCCACAGTGAACGATTATTATGGTGCCGAGATATAAGAAGGTGTTTAACCATTGAAAAACAAATTTGGTTGCCCAATTAAATTTTGAGATTTAGGGTTATGCTAATGCAAAACGGGATTATTGTTTTGGTTTTTAAACACTAATTTAGCAAAACATGAAGTAGAAGAAATGGAATAATCGAGGGGAAACATAAAAATTTTGTCCTAGAAGATGGATCACCGGTTAGACTAACATTATCTTGAGGCATTAACCACTATGCTTAATCCATGATAACTAAACTTTTAGTTGTAATCAAGATAGCAAGCATGCATTGATAACAAGTCCAATTGGTTCACAATAATATTACATAATGTTAACTTTTATTGGTTAGAATAGTATTTTTCATCTAAAGTTCGTTAATGCATTTTGTCAAATATGTGAAATCTCCGGGACTGACGAAAAATTTAGCAAGTATTATCTACCGTTTGTGGACTGTTTTCTATCGCCTGTGGTTTCGAATGCTTGAAAGATTTGAGTTCATACTCTTAGTATTTAAAATTCTATTTATTTATATAAAGGTCAAGAGCATTATAATGCAGAAACATGGAGAATAATACAATACATTAAAATTTGACAAAATTAGAATAAAATACATTATAAAACTAGAGAATATATTAATAAAAGAAACAAGACGGGATGTGTTTTATAATATTCTCATTTTCTGCGATTAGCAAAAAGCAAAACTGATAATATAGCTCCACATGCCCCCTATTGTTCTATGTGTTGGCTCTTATTCAATGGCCGATAAGGTACTATTGCAAGAATCAGATCCTTCTTTCGTTCTTTTATTGTTTTTTTTTTTCTTTAACATCTTTCGGTAGCCACAAGAGATGACTTCTATTAGTCGATTTAATCCCAAATTTAATTATGGCGTCTTTTTTGAAGATTGCTTCGCAGAATTGGTGCAATGAAAATACTTATATATTAGGTGTGTGATATAGACGTTGAAATAATAAATAATCAATTAATTGTGGTTGGGTATTTGAACAGATAGAAACCACTTTATTATATACAATTTGATGTTTCAAAATTTATAATTCACATCATTGCGACTCGTGATAAATCAATGGATTAGATATTAACTGAGGGGGTTTTTTTTTTGGACTTTTGAGAATTGTAATTTCATTTGTATTTTTGTAATATCATATCATGCATCTATGTTTTAGCAGTCATTGTATATAATCGATAGTATATACTCTGTCAAAGTAATTTTCGGAAATGTTTTATTCATCAGTTTAAACACAAATATATATACATGTACATTAGTTATTCTTAAGTTAATAACTAACAATGTGGAACAAAACAAATAAACTAGTTAACATTGAGTTAATAATTATATATGGCTCAATACATTCATTATCTCTTAATATACTCCCTGTGTTTTGATATAAGTGATATTTAAAATTTTTGCACAGACTAAAAATTCATTTAATTTTTATTCTTTCTATACTAAAAACATTATTTATTATCTATTTAAATAAATTTCAATCAATAAAAAACATTCTGCAGAATAAAAATAGTCCAAAATAATAAAATATTATTAAATTTTGTATTAAAAACTGAAAACATCACTTATTTAAGAAAAAAAACTTTTAAAACATCACTTATTTAAAAACTTTTAAAATACTACACTTGGTTTTATGAAGATCTATTTAATTTAAGGAATAAGTATATGACACTTTGAGGTGATCATAGCTTACATAATTTAAATTGTTTATAAATTTTTCTCATTTCAATTACCAAACAAAGAAACTTCCAAAGTGTCTCCTTTCGAGTTTCGACAAATCAAAAAATAAACTAAACCATTATATTTCTTAATTAAGACATTCCTGGCTTTTGTTTAGTCTTCTTGGATCTAGGAATTAAATGCACCAAAGAACTTATCTTTTTTTTTTCTGTAAACAAATTGGAAAATAAAAAACAGAGAATGATATAATGTGACGTTAGAAAAGATGCCTATAGCGTCAACTTTTGTCTGAAAATGAATCCCATTTTGTTGGTATAACAATAAGAACAACGTGCGAAGAAGATACTTTGTCTTTTATTTGGATGATGGAGAATTCGCTAGAGGTTAAGCCTTATCATTCTATAGGTCTCTATCCATATATTTTAAGCAGACACTAAACAACCCCTCTATTAAACGAACTTACCATCTACTAGATTTGAGTCGGCAAGATAAGACAGATATGTTTTCAATTGCGAGTTATCGCATATATAAATCTCTGGTGGTTACACAAGAACAGTGGTATAAGATTCTCAGGCTATCACAAGAATCTGACCTTTTTTTAATGGTTGATTTTGTGTCGTGGGCATGCTGCAACTTTTTCATGTGTGATATACACTCCTACAGATATGACAAATTGAAAGACATGCATGAGACACTAAAAGAATCATAAAACTGTCGCTGTAATGCGCGATTTTGAGTTTTTTTTTTGCTAATGGATATATGAAAGAAATGTGTATCTATGACCACCAGATCTAATTACTACTATTCGTAGGATGTGCTGTGTTAGGGAGAAATGATTTCTTGAGGAAACAAAAGTGTATCACATGCAGACAACATCAGCACATGATGAGAGCTTGATAATGCAGAGATATAAGCAAATGATATGATATGATGCCATGTGAGATATACATCTAAAAAATCACATAGCCAATATATTAAAAATTTGAGAAACTTATAAGATATTCTTTTGAAGATTTAGAGGATCTTCCCACTTGGATCGGTTTTGATATAAGTAGTTTTGAGTTCTGAAATGGTGGAGAGCATAATTATTGGTCATGTATTATGGAAAAGCCGCAAAGTCTCTTCCTTTTCATTTCCACTTTTTGTTCTATGTAAATACAAATCATCTGTGTGAAAGTTGAAGAAGTTACCAAGTTGGTTGAATAATTGAGGCATCTAGTACTTATACTTTAAGCCCTTTTTATTTTTCAGAATTTGCTTAAGGCTGTGTCACATTGATAATCTGCAATCACATCAAAACGGTTAAGAGCTTGGGAGAACCTAACAACAACTGATGAATTTTCAGTAGAAACAACCTTTTTGTAAAGCGACAGTTGCAATATTAGAATCCAAAGTAGTCAAGACTCAAGAGGGTGCTTTAATTTAATTTATCTAAGATAATTTAGAGGTAAGATTCTGATAAACGGAACAAAGGAAGAGATAGGTATAAATATTTGGTAAAGGAATTAGCTTTAGAATAAATTAAGCGGAGAGAGAGAGAAGGTGGGAACCCACCATAGACGATTGATCGGCCAACATCGTAAAGAAAGCCTTTTTATTTCTCTCTCTCTCTCTCTTCCTCTTTCTGGTTCTTGCAACACACAGTAGTATTTCTAAGTGTGTGTGAGGGTGTTTTCCATACTACTATATATTCATGTGCTCACATGGTTTCCCTTTGAGGGAGATCAAGAAGAAAGTTACCAAAGGCACTCGCTTTCAAAATCTTTGTTATTACCTTTTTTGTTTACTTTGATACTGTTACCAAGATTAAGAACTTTCCATAAGACCAAAAAACTTTCCATAAGAGCATCACCAACGGCTATAGCGGCTACAACTTCAAGGACGAGTAAGGAAACTGGTTCAGGATCCATCATGCCTCAGAACTGCATAGCACCAAGGCCTGAAGAAAATGGCCAAGTCATGGTACAAGGTTTGACAGATATGTCAGAAACACAGAGCAAGTCTGTAATAGCCTTCCCTGTGGTCACTTCACAACCTGGTCTCCAGCTTTCCATGTACCCCATAACTCTCAAGGTGTCTCTCTCTCTTTCTATATAGATATCTCTCCTGCACAAAGAAAGAGAGAGAAATAAATAAAAATCAGTATTGTGCACTTCTTGTTTTAGTTTTCAGTTGAGCTTTTGAAATTTACCTGCAAGAAATCTCATCAGAAATATTCCTCTCTTCTTACTCTAGCTTGGTAGTAGATTACAAGACGGGGACATCATTCTAACAACGTATTCCATCTATTTCTTTGTGGTTGTACAGTTTGAGGAGGTTGTGTACAAGGTTAAGATAGAGCAAACAAATCAGTGTTTAGGATCATGGAGCTGCAAAGAGAAGACGATTCTGAATGGGATAACGGGAATGGTTTGTCCAGGAGAGATCCTAGCCATGTTAGGTCCATCAGGCAGTGGCAAAACCACTCTTCTCTCAGCTCTGGGAGGCCGCCTCGCCAAATCTTTCTCGGGGAAAGTCATGTACAATGGTCAGCCTTTCTCTGGCTGCATCAAGCGCAGAACAGGGTTTGTTGCTCAGGATGATGTCCTGTACCCTCACCTCACGGTTTGGGAGACTCTCTTCTTTACTGCACTTCTACGGCTACCAAGTAGTTTGACCAGAGACGAGAAGGCTGAGCATGTGGACAGAGTTATCGCTGAACTCGGATTGACTCGGTGTACAAACAGCATGATAGGAGGACCACTGTTCAGAGGAATATCAGGAGGGGAGAAAAAAAGGGTTAGCATTGGTCAAGAAATGCTGATAAATCCTAGCTTGCTCCTTCTTGATGAACCCACTTCAGGTCTTGATTCGACCACTGCTCATCGCATCGTGACCACAATCAAACGGCTGGCTTCTGGAGGAAGAACAGTAGTCACCACAATTCATCAGCCATCAAGCCGCATATACCATATGTTTGACAAGGTGGTTTTGCTGTCTGAAGGAAGTCCTATTTACTATGGCCCTGCATCTTCTGCTGTGGATTATTTCAGCTCTGTTGGATTCTCCACTTCCATGACAGTTAACCCAGCTGACCTTTTACTTGACCTTGCAAACGGTAAACGACCTTTCTCTTTATGCTTCTAGATGATGAAACAAATGAGGAAAAAGAAAATCCTTTTTTAACTCTTTAAAATTTGGCTAACTGCAGGAATTCCACCTGATTCTCAAAAGGAGACCTCGGAACAAGAACAGAAGACCGTAAAAGAAACCCTTGTTTCGGCTTATGATAAGAACATTTCTACTAAACTGAAAGCTGAACTCTGCAATGCGGATTCCCATAGCTTTGAGTACACCAAAGCTGCTGGTAATTTTCGCTTTTTGAAGTACTTCTTGTTTAATTCTGCTTCTGCTCCTCTGCATCACTAATAATCTGACGTTATCTATTCTTTAATTGGATCAGCAAAAAATCTCAAGTCAGAACAATGGTGCACAACTTGGTGGTACCAGTTCACTGTATTGCTCCAACGAGGGGTCAGAGAGAGGAGATTCGAATCTTTCAACAAGCTCAGGATTTTCCAAGTCATCAGCGTGGCTTTTCTTGGTGGCCTTTTATGGTGGCATACTCCAAAATCTCACATTCAAGACAGAGTAAGTCTCTTAGATGATTATCACTTACTCTTCTTCCCATCACAGTCAAAGCTAACACGCATTCTGTGAATCTAACCATCCTTCTACATTTATTCTAAATGCAGACTGCCTTGCTCTTCTTCTTCTCAGTCTTTTGGGGGTTTTACCCACTATACAACGCAGTTTTCACATTTCCTCAAGAGAAAAGAATGCTAATCAAAGAACGCTCTTCAGGAATGTACCGTCTTTCCTCTTATTTCATGGCAAGAAACGTTGGAGACTTGCCTTTGGAACTCGCTCTTCCAACTGCTTTTGTGTTCATAATTTACTGGATGGGTGGGCTTAAACCCGACCCCACAACGTTTATCCTCTCACTACTGGTTGTTCTCTATTCCGTCCTCGTAGCTCAAGGTCTTGGCTTGGCATTTGGTGCTCTGCTAATGAACATCAAGCAAGCCACAACGTTAGCATCTGTTACTACACTCGTGTTTCTCATAGCTGGAGGGTATTACGTGCAGCAAATCCCTCCATTCATCGTATGGCTCAAGTACCTAAGCTATAGCTACTACTGCTACAAGTTGCTTTTGGGTATTCAATACACTGATGATGACTACTACGAGTGCTCAAAGGGAGTCTGGTGCAGAGTTGGAGATTTCCCAGCAATCAAATCAATGGGATTGAGCAATTTATGGATAGACGTTTTTGTTATGGGAGTGATGCTGGTGGGTTATCGTCTCATAGCCTACATGGCACTGCATAGAGTGAAGTTGAGGTAACAAATTGGATAGCCCCAAGAAGCTCCAAAGATTTTTCCTCCCCCTACAACTGCAACCAAGGAATAATATTAGTAATTAGAAAAGATAAAAAGTCGTCGAATTTTGGTCGATTTTACTTACGTATCCGAGATGTTATATCCGACGACTTTCTTTTGTTTTAGGCTAGATAATAATACTCCTAAGCTGAGAATAAAACAGTGAGATAATGTATGAGATAAGGAAGCCAAAGTATATACTTAATTCCCATTTGCAAAAATAGTGAGACGAAAGTGACAAAACTTTCGGTCCACTCTCCCTTGGAGATGAGTGTTGTATCTTTGTGGGGTTCCTTAAAACCTTTCGGTCCACTCTTTAATACCTTACTAGCCACCTGCAAGTGCACATCAACAGGTGCAAAATGAAATCAGTGAGATATGTGTATCAGATAAGAATCAAACAAGTTGCTGATAATTAGACTAACAACGACAAGAACATAAGCAAACATACCTGACCATGGCACTCGTTATCATCTCATGTTTCTCTTAGCGGTAGTTTGTTGTTTCTTTTTGCACAAAAGCAAAGAAAAAGATAAGAATGCGATCAATTACCACCCATTAATCACAAGAAAAAAGCAGACTTTTTAACTGCATAATTATGTCAACATAGCTAAAGGAATGAGCTATCGCTTTCATACAAATGTGACGAATAATTGAAACTTTAATTGGCTGTTATACTTCACATCGTTAGCTACGAAATAATTACACCAAAAGAAGAAGTGGGTAAGCTACAGTGTGTGCAGAACAAGAAATAGAGGAGTAAAGAAATAAATAAAAATCTGGGAAAGATAAACAAATCATTGGGATGACAAGGCCCACAAGATATGCTTACACATTAAAACGTGATTCACTTTAGTCAAGTGGAAGCTGATGCAAGAGAGAAAAACAAAGACATCACAAGAGAAATCCATGTCACTCTCTACTTTGTCAAGTGTCATTGTCATCACCAAGAAGAACCATCTTAAAAACCCCCAAGTAAATACAGGAAACGTCACTCACTAACTCCTGCTGCTTTCTCAGACCTAAACACATCATCATCCTTGTAGTGATTTACATACGGAAGCAAGAGATCATATGATCTAATCATGTTCTTTCCATTTATATATGTTATATAACTAGAGAGAGTACACCAGTTGCCTTTTTTTTGTTAGTGTACTAAATAAAGATACAATTTTCCACAAGCTTATGTACACCAAAACGAGATAACATAAACTAACCATCTCTTAAAGTCATAGATATAAACCAACTTGGTGAAACGCCTTGTCATTCACCATTTGCGTGAAAAAGTTGTGACTCTACCGGTAATACATGCTAGTGAAGATTATAATTTACACTTTAGCTTAGTATCAACTATCAACATAAACATCTGTCAACCAAGAAAATGTTCAAGTTGTATAAAACATCCACAAAGATAAGTAGAAGGAAATTACAAAATTAATTTCTCTAATAGAGAGCATGTTCATACATAATGATCGGTACCTACGAACCGGTGTACCTTACTTATTAGCTTAATGTTGGCCTCAAGGACTTGTATACAAAAGCTCACATCTACATTTCCACTAACAAGAACTTCAAAAGCTCGAATGTTATCTAAGTAATGATATAAGAATTCATACACTGTTCCTAGAATTAGCACATATACACTGAGTTTCAGAGGTTTAACAGCCTAGTTAAAGAGCTGAAAAAAAAAAACTTGAAAACATCAAGAAAAACTGCAACTTCAAGATGAAATATCATAGATTCAACTTTCTAGAAGATTTTTCCTTTAGCTGATAAACAAAAGTCTATAGGAAACAACTGAAATCAACTAGTAAACAATCGCATTCTTCTCAAATGACAAATCTAATTTCTGAATACATTAGTATACCAAAAAATTAACACCCACTGATGTTAATTAGGAATTTTACTCACACGCATCGTTTCCGTTAAGAAAATGGCAAGTTCCAAGTCAGGTGACGGTGACGCAGGGGAGACGAAGACTCCATGCGGCGATGTTGCGGTGGAGCATCCGCGACTGCGAAGGAGGAAAAGCAACGGGGAAACGGTAACGTTTCGTCAACAAAAGACTAACATTAATTGTAAATTGCATATTACCCCTTACATTTACTTTCCTTTCCATAAAAAAGCCTCCAAATCCCACATTTTGATTGAAGCCCAATTAAGCCCATAACATTTGATAAAGGCCCATATCGATTCAGCTACCTTCCTTCTTAACTGAGTCTTCTTCATCGTCTCTGTTCTAGGGTTTGAGCTTTCTCTCTTTCTGTAGTTTGTTTCTCTGTGAGCGTGTGTGAAGAAGAAATGGCGGCAGTTTCTAGGGTTTTCGGAGGATGCAGGACACTGATGGCGAAGGCGGCGTCTAATGCGGCGGCTACAGGCGCCGGAGCTGGTAAAGAAGGAAAGGGGATACTTAAGACTGTTCCGGTCTCGCCGACGTTGGCTAGTTTCGCCGGAGAAAACGAACTCTCTCGTGCCACCGCCGTGAAGAAAGTGTGGGAGTACATCAAAGGTCAAAATCTCCAGGTTAGGGATTTTTCTTCACTTTCGGAGATTTCTAGGTTCTTTAAACCAGTTTATGCACTTAGAGATTTGGTTTCTCTAGAGACTGTAGAATATGGAAGAGGAAAAAATCGTTGCATGTAAACAAATCACTTGAGCTTTCCATGGAATTTCTTGGAGAAATTATTTGATTCTTGTGTTTGGTCATTATCTTTGTGAATCATAACAATGTATTAGGGACTCACTGAACATTTTGGGTTTTGTTTGTGGAATTTGATTTGTACTGAGTGAACATTTTAGAGACTTAGCTTGTTAGTTCATATATTGTTGAATCAAGAATCTACTACTTGCGAATATAGTGGCTTTGGATTGAGCAATGTGCTTCTCTGTTTTTTTTTTTTTTTTTTTTTTTGTTGTTGTCATTGATAGCATTTTCATGTTTAGAGAAGTATTACTTAATAAGGCATTTGTTTTATGATTTGTAGAATCCGACGAATAGAAGGGAGATACTATGCGATGATAAGTTGAAGACGATCTTCGATGGCAAAGACACAGTTGGATTCACAGAGATTGCGAAGCTCTTGTCCCCACATTTTCCTAAGTCGGTCTGATTTAATGTGATGTTTCTAAGCTTGTAGTATCTTTTTAATCCAAGAAATGGTTTGCTTTCTTATTAGGTACATTTTGGATGTATATATGAAAAAAAAAAGAGGAAGCAAAACTCTGTTTGATCCATCTGTTAGGGAATGTTATGTATTCTGACATTTTGATTTTGGATCTTTTGTCGTCTTTGAGTCTTCCTTAGTCGATGAATCACACTCGAATTGATAATTTTGTTATTTTTGCTGTCAATACTTGATCGATTTTATGAAGTTGTAAAGATACAAGCACATAAAATGAATGCTAAGAGAAATGCTAATATATATATATATATATATATGTTTTATTACATGATTTATCGTGTAGGAAACTAAGTCGCTAGAAAATGTTTTATGCGGTATGGATTGCGTTTTTATATTATTGCAAAAATGAAAGGTCAACAACATTATAATCTATTATATTAAAACAAAAGCACATTTAGAATTCCAAACATTCCCAAAATTTTTTTAAAAATATTTTAAAAAACAGTTTTAAAATTATCCTAAATTATTGTAATATTCTTTAAAAACATATTTTCTTTTTTATATAAAAAATTCAAAAATTAGATATGAATTTAGATAACTAAAGATTTCTTTAAATATAGATCATATTTTATTTAAAATTTAAACTATTTTTGTAATTAAATTTAATTCTAAAAAATATATTAATTTCAATTATTCTATACTTCTTTAATTATAGGTCAGATTTAATTTAACATTTGAAAATTTAAATAATATTTTAAAAAAAACAAATATGATTAAGAGAATACTTTATTGTAATTTTAATCATATTCAATCAGAATAAAATTTCACATATTGAAAACTAATAAATATTAATATTATATGGTCATTTGATGGGGTGGATTATGTTTTTTTTTTTATAATTGCAGTCTTATATTTAAAACATGCAAGATATTAAGATAAATATTATTTCAAAATTAGTAAATAATTATATTATATAGTAATATGACGGACAGGTTAGAATTATGGTTTAGTAATTACAGTTTTTCAGATTAATAGAATGAATGAGCTAAAAATATATTTTTATAATAATGGTTTTTTTCGATTAATAGAATGATCGGGTTAGAATTATGTTTTTATGATCATGTTCATAATATAGTAGAAAAATTAAAAAATAAATTATATCTAAACACAAAAATAAATCTTTGTTATTTATTAAAAAATTATATCTATAAAAAAATATAAATTATATTATAAATTTTGATTAAAAAATTTTATGATGTGCAGATGCACGGAGTAAAATCTAGTATTTGATTAAGCAAACACGTGTCATTATCGACGCAAGAAGAAGAAATGTGTTGTTATAACGAGCATACATCAACGCGTCCATTTCGCTTTAAATCAATAGCCAAGAGCTCTTTTCGCTACATATATATACATATATATATATGTATCTAAATATTATAGACTATATAGTTTAAATTTTTACCAAATCTTGTATTATCTTCTTTCTTATCTCTCTAGCTCTTTTGATTTTCAAAACCAAGGTAATTCAAAGGCTCTCATCTTTTCTCATCCTCAAATCTCTTGTAATCGTATCTTGAATTCCCTCTAATTTGATTTTGAAACGTTAATTACATCTTAAGTAGTTAAAAAAAAAAGAAATGGGTAAAGACAAGCATCACGAACAAGACAAAGGATTCTTCTCACATCATAATCATCACGGCCATGGTTATCCACCGGGAGCTTATCCTCCTCCGCCACCGGGAGCTTATCCTCCGCCGCCACCGGGAGCTTATCCTCCGCCGCATGGTTATCCTCCGCAAGGTTATCCTCCGCCACCTCACGGTTATCCACCTGCCGCTTATCCACCTCCTCCCGGCGCTTATCCTCCCGCCGGTTACCCCGGACCCTCTGGTCCTCACCGTCCAGGTTTTTATCTAACTAAGTTTTGTGGCATGTTTCTTGATTTTTGATATTGAAATGAGAGAAAAACTGTTAGACAAAAAAATATATATGCATGTTTGTTACTTGTTAGTCCGATCAGTTTTATGTTTTGGGTGGAGTGTTATCTAGTTTTAGCTCTCAAAATATGATTTGAAGACAAATGTACACGATTTTTGTTTTTTTTCCTTTTTGATGTTTGGTTAAATACAAATCAAATAGTTTCTACATATGACAAGGGTTAATAATATACTTGAGTTGGAACATGGATTCAAAAATTTGTAGACATTTATTATTTAAGTATTTGATACATACATTTTTGTATGTTTAATTCAATTCTTTTTTTCACGTATTCAAAAAAAAAAAAAAAGCAATACAACATATATGGCTTTGGTTTAGAGTTTAGAGATACGTATATGGAACCCGCCGGTTGATAAATAATTTTGGTTTAGTTTTGGGTAAATGTGGTTCTGGTGGGTTCATATGCCAATAAATGACCTCTAATTAAATACTTTTCATGAATCATTTTACCCATATTGTGAATAGGTCTTGGAGGAGGAGTCGGTGGGCTAATAGCAGGAGCGGCTACAGCAGCTGCAGCTGCAATGGGAAGTCACCATCACGGTGGTTACGGCCACCATCACGGTGGTAAGTATAAAAGAGGGTTTTTCGGTGGAGGAAAGTACAAGCGAGGCAAGCACAGTATGTTTGGAGGGAAGTATAAGCGTGGCAAGCACGGCATGTTCGGAGGCAAACGAGGCAAGCATGGCATGTTCGGACGAAGAAAGTGGAAATGATCAATATGATAATTGGTCTTCTATAATATCTCTATATATTATCGTATTTAATAACTTAACATAAGCTTATGTATGTGTAATGTGTGCATGTTTATATTATCTGTGTTTACTTTTATATATGTATAAAAGTATCTTTAATTTTGGTTTAACTTGCTCGCATGTTGAAAGTTCATTTGTTGAAGGACATGTTTTTTGTCATCGTAAATTACTATTAAATGCAGTTTTGGTTATTGGAATGAATATAGGGATTAATATGGATTTGGATTTTAAAATATGATTATCCAAAAACAAAAGAAAATTATTTGAATTTTTTTAAAAATATGTTTTGGGCGAGAAGAACAAAATAAATACTGGATATGATAAAATTTATTAAAAAAATATAGAAAAAACGCTATATTATTGTATTTAACAGTTTAATATAAATTTATGTATGTGTAATGTGTGCTTGTTTGTATTATCTTTGTTTACGTTTATATTTATATAAAAATATTTTTAATTTTTGGTTTAATTTTTTCGTTTAATTTTTTCGTTGGTTTAATTTCTTCGTCTGATATTTTTAAAGTTGAAAGTTCATTTGTTAAAAGATATGCCTTCTTTTGTTTTATTGTAAATAACTATTTTTTTTATCATCATAAATTACTATTTCTATAAATGCAGTTTTGGTTATTCCATTAAATGCAGTTTTGGTTATTGGAATGAATATAGGGATTAATATGGATTTGGATTTTAAAATGTGATTATCCAAAAACAAAAGAAAATTATTTGAATTTTTTTAAAAATATGTTTTGGGCGAGAAGAACAAAAAAAATACTCGATATGATAAAATTTATTAAAAAAATATTAAAAACGTTATATTATTGTATTTAACAGTTTAATATAAATTTATGTATGTGTAATGTGTGCCTGTTTGTATTATCTTTGTTTACGTTTATATTTATATAAAAATATCTTTAATTTTTGGTTTAATTTCTTCGTTTTATTTTTTTGTTGGTTTAATTTCTTCGTCTGATATTTTTAACGTTGAAAGTTCATTTGTTAAAAAATATGCCTTCTTTTGTTTTATTGTAAATTACTATTTTTTTATCATCATAAATTACTATTTTTATAAATGCAGTTTTGGTTATTGGAATGAATATATGGATTAATATGGATTCGGACTTTAAGATGTGATTATCCAAAAACAAAAAAAAATATTTGAATTTTTAAAAAAACTTTGGGTGAGAAGTATCAAACAAGAAAAATACTCGATATGATAAAATTTATCTAAAATAAATTTGAAAGAAATATAAAAAATGTTATATTATCTATTGAACAACTTAACATAAGCTTATGCATATGTAATGTGTGCCTGTTTGTATCACCTGTGTTTACGTTTATATATGTATAAGAGTATCTTTAATTTTGGTTTAACTTCTTCGCCTGGCGTTGAAAGTTCATTTGTTGAAAGACATATTTTTTTTTGTAAAATTTTCTTTTTGTCATTGTAAATTATTATTTTTATAAATGCAGTTTTGGTTATTGGAATGAATATAAAGATTAATATGGATAGACTTTAAGATGTGATTATCTAAAAACAAAAAAAAAATTATTTGAATTTTCAAGAAAACATTTTTTGGGCGAAAAGTATTGAACAAGAAAAATACGCGATATAAGAAAATTTATCTAAAACAGGTTTGAAAAAAAAATATAGAATAAATGTTATATTTTAAAGGTCACATGTAGGAAAGTGTTTTCTTTTCCAACTTAGATAGACTAACATAAAAGAATTTGGGTCTGGAAATATTGGAGTTGCTTATCCTAAAACTCTTAAACGATAATCGTATATGAAAATAAAAAAGCTAAATGATATTGTGGATAATTTTAGTTATCTTGACGATTGAAATTGAGATAATGAGTTGGAAAATAAATAAGTACTGTAATATATAAGAATCTCATTTCAAATTACGATCTGTTATCACCAAAACATGAACAGTTTGGATAACTAGTTTTTTTTTGGTAAAAGTTTGGATAACTAGTTGATTAAAAAAAAAACAATTTGGATAATTAGATTAATGTTATAAACAAATGAACTTCTAGTAACCGGCCCATTAACCATCAGGTTAATGTCTCATGGTCCATTAGGATTTCTAATGCATTAGTTATGTAATGTATATATACACTGCTTATGGAAATAATAAGATCAGAGTTTTTCCCTTAATACGTTATCAGCACAAAGCCTAACTTCAAACGATCATATCTCTCAAAATACAAGGAGTTAGAAGGCGATCTATATATCATTTTGAAGCCCTGGAAGAGAAGAATCTAGTGGTGAAAACCGCTCCTCAATCCGACATCAGACGCGCCCTAAAGACTCAAAACAATCGGCGCTGTCCCACCTTAGCGGGTGATTCTTTCCAAGCGGTGGTTCCTCCATTGTAGCAGCTGTTCGTCCTCCCTTCTGGCCATCATTCTCAGGAGTTTCCAGTAGATATATGTGGTCTTTAGCTCCCAGATCATAAGCCGGTCAGAAATCCATTTGGCGAAAAGGTATTATCTAAAACTATAGATTCTAATCAAAGTTTTGGTTTTTTTTTTTGAAAACCCTAATATGGATCGGTTCTTTTCATGATTCTTCATCGTCTTTTTCGTTTTTAAAACCATAACCAAACCGATCCTCTTTCTTCTTGTCAAAACCCTAATTGGTTTTATTTTTCCTAATCGGCTTTATCATATAACACCTAAACCCTAATGCTTTGTTCAAACCCTATACCGATTGGTCCTAGCATCATCTAAACCAAACACTAAAATTCTTTGCAAACCGAAACCTAAATCTTTGCAAAACCCTAGATCTAAAATCGTTTATAAACCGATAAATTCTAATCCTAAATCGATAGGGTTTAAGTTTAAACCGATCGGTTTTTCCTAATAAAAATTAAACCCTAGCAAATCCGTTTAGTTTAATCCTTTAACCGATTAATAACCCTAATAACCGGTTTCCAAAATTAAATCTAATTCAACCGGTTTTGTTGTTTAATCGATCAATCCGATCGGTTTAAGCTTAATCGGTTAATTTCAAATTAGTTTCCAAAATCAATCTCTAGATTGCCTAAACCCTAAACCCTAAACCCTAAACCCTAAACCAATGTTTATCTATTAGAGCTAAATTTGGAAACCCTAGTAAACCGGCTAGGTTATAAACCCTAAGGTTCGATTTTAGAGTTCCCTTATATAGCAAGTTTCCTAAAATAGCAAGTTTCCTGAAATGGAAAGTTTTCCCAAGAATACCTTAAATCCCTTATTCCAATGATCATAGTCTCATACTATTGATTATTTAACATAAATTATTATATGTTTCAGATGTCAAACATTCAAAAGGTCGAATATGAGGCACTCACTGTCTCCGGAGATAACTACCTCAAATGGGCCCTTGACACCAAGATCTACCTCAACTCAAAAAGTCTGGGTGAATGCATCAAAGATCCCAACACCGCGACTCAAACAGAACGGTACTCGGCGATATTTATTATCCGCCATCACCTCGCTGAGTCTCTCAAGCAACAATACCTCACTCTTGAGGATCCACTCGAACTTTGGGTGGCACTGAAAAAGCGATATGACCATCAGAAAACGGTCATACTGCCCCAAGCCAAGTTCGACAGGAAGAACCTACGGTTCGAAGATTTCAAATCCGTCGAAGAATTCAATTCCGAACTCTTTCGGATAGTTGCACTCATAAAACTATGTGGCGAGGAGGTCACTGATAAGGATATGCTAGAGAAAACATTCTCTACTTTTGGCACTCCCAATGTTGTTCTCCAACAACAATACCGTGCCATGAATCATAGCACCTATGAGGATTTGATATCTTGCTTACTGCTTGCTGAGAAGAACAATCAGCTTCTGTTGAGGAACAGTGTCATGCGGCCTCCAGGATCAGCCCCATTGCCAGAAGGAACCAGAAAAGAGTCCAACTTCGTCCAACGTAACAGATCCTCAGATCGTGGACGTGGACGTGGAAATGGACATGGACTGCGCGGCAGAGGACGCGGTAGACCGAACCAAGATAACCGACCTAACCTCAGTTTTGGTCGGGGTAAGGGTCGTGGTATCAACAAACCGACCCAAAGAGGCAGTTCATCTAGACCAACTCCTTGCTCAAGATGCGGAATGACTAATCATTGGGTCAAGAACTGCCGTACTCCCAAATATCTTGCTGAGCTCTACCAGAAGTATGGGAAAGATAATAATGAGGCTAACCTGGTTCACCAAGTCAATGAAGATGACTCAAAGGATGATAAGATTGATGGCATGGATTATGAGCTCTCCGACCTCCTTGATTGATCTCAAAAATCTGAATTTGTTTTTCATTACTCCTTAAACCTTTATCTTTTGTTTTTGGGATTTATTGTCTTTACTTTGGATTTTTAAGACCTTTTGCTTTTACATTTTAATTTATGGAGTAATGTTTTATTTACATCTCATTTTTGCATGTTATTGAATTATAATTCTTGTTTAATGAAGATATGCAAGACAATATGGATATCATTGTGGATAGTGGATCGAGCCACACCATTCTAAAAGACAAGAATTACTTCATAAATTTAGTAATCAAAACCGCAAACATTAGCACTATAGCGGGTAGTTCGAGCCTAATAGAGGGCCATGGCCAAGCTAATGTGTTGTTATCAAATGGCACATATCTAGACATCTCTGATGCCTTATACTCACCCAGTTCTAAGAGAAACCTATTGAGTTTCAAAGACATAAGATTGAATGGTTTCCATATCGAAACTCAGGATGAAGGGAACAAAGAGTTTTTAATTATCACTAAAATGATAAATGACCATAAACAAGTTTTTGAAACTATGCCGTATCTACTGGCATTTACCATGCTAAAGTCAGTATGATTGAGGCTAATGCTGCTATCAAAGCACGGTTTTTAGATTACACTATTTGGCATGATCGCCTGGGTCATCCCGGTGCGAACATGAT